CAGCCACTTGATTGAAATGGCATCGTGTGGTGACGGTGGTGTATTCCGATTCTTATCATGCTGAGTATTGAATATTATAGATAATATAGAGCTTGATAACACGTGGGCAAGTCGTATTGGGTGATTGCTGTTACACTTCAGTAGCTAATGACAGTGACACAAACTTGCAGAAGAGATCAAACAAACAAATTGCCATGAATTTGGGCCAGTGGTTGCTGCTGCAAGTGGGTAGATGTTCTTTGGACATATGAGGGATCCTTTATCGACGCACGAGTGCTAGGAAAGATCATGTCCATCGAGATTGCCAGATCTTTAGTAATTGTTTTTTGTTGCGATGGACACTTTAGGATACGTCCCCCTTCTCACAGGCAGCTCTTCTAAGCTATGCATATGGATTTACTTGAAATGATTGCTGCGGTGATTTTTGGTACTTCAGTTCAAGTTTTTTGTCGAATTCTTTGTAGTCACACACTTGGAAGGGTCTTTTTGGATTGGTTGGATGGGTTACTCTTCAATTTCAAGCTGTTTCCAATGCCATGATTGAATTGCCATCCTCCGAAGCTCTGAGGTTGGGGCTCCACTGGTCCTTAAAGAACGCGACAAGATTGGGTCTCACCCGCTTTTGACCTCAGGTCCAGACACCAGTGGAAACTGAGCCACTTTCGCCGGAGACAGCCACTTGATTGACGTGCAGTGCCTGCCAGTACCACAAACAGGATGACACTGGAGTTGGAATCAGGCTCCAGCTCGTCGGGGCTTGTTTAGAGCTGGACCACGGAACATGCACCAGGATTTAGGGCTCCGGGGGTTGATCAGCGTACCTGCAGGCGATTTTCCCTACAGCCAAAGGCCGTTGGTTTCAAAACTTGGGTTTCAGCTGGTTAGGCATTGGCCCGGGCACAAGAGCTGAGAAAAGACTAGCACCTGGTTTTGATATAGTGGTTTCATGTGGTTTCCTTCTGAAGCCACTGAGGTGAGTATTAGTGTGAGTATTGTATTTCTATGTATTGGTATATATATATATATAAATGAATCCAAGTGACGAGTTGAACGCAGCGGCCAACCCCCGTTGACCGGACCATGAAAGCGTTCCGAGAAAGCGTTCCGCCATCGACTGAGGCGACCAAGCCTTCGGGAGAGGTTCGATTGCTACTTCCTTCCAAGGCCAGGTCGCCGAAGTACGTCATGCGGACGCTGGAGCAATCCACTGGATTGTCACCGGGCTGAGGAGAACCGCCCCAGCTCGTTCATGTTGGACTTAAATCGATTGACCGAATTAATTCCAATGGTTCTTCTGGCGACAGCTTGATCCAATCCACTGTGGAAACGGGTCAAACATCACCAGGTGGCAGCGCTAGCAACCCTTTGCAGGCATTTCTAGGGCCTTTGAGCTGCTTTCGGCGGCCGGACAGTTTGGAACATGCAGGAAAGACACCGCTGCGCAACGCGCTTCCTTCTTTCCTGTAGGGGTGCATGTTTGGTTCCACTCCACAACAATAATTCTTTATGTTTTGATTGGGGGCACCACTGCAGCACCTTTCATAATGAGTACATACCATTAGTAGGTGTCTCCAAGCGGACATCTTTCACCTGCGTCATACGCAGCCACCACCTGGTTGACGTTTTCAGGCCAAGGAGGAAGAACCAAAGGTTGTGGTCTCGGACTTTGCCACTTGGAGGTCGTTGGGTGTTCGTGGCACCTGCCGGCGCCCCCGCGCCCCCGAACTGCGCCAGTATTTGCGCCCGCGGCCGGTGCTGTGAGCATTTGTCAAGAGGAGACACCCTGAAATGTGCCATGCATTGACTAGTGGATTCTAGTGGATAGGCTGAGTTTGCCATAGGTTGCCTCTTTGTTTTTCTTTGAATTGGAACATCATCAGTGTGCAGCGTGTGATTTGTTCCGGTCTCTCATCCCGCAAGGCTCCAAGAGATGAAGACTCGGCAAGTCTACACCCCGGGTCACCAGCGGCGCAAAAACCACCTGAAATCCATCGATGTCGATGTGGTGCGCCTGCTGTGGGAAGAAAAGAACAACTGGTTGTTTGAAACCCTTCTGTTTCAAGGGGCTGGAGAGTTTCAGAGTGGCCTAGGATGCCTATTGGAAAACCTATCATGGGTCGATGATGTTTAAGGTGACCTACTTCGCAAAAGATCTCCCTTTCTTTGCCCCAGATCTCAGCTACTCAGCGACCACAGTCCAAAGATGAGGATAACCAAAACGTCCAGCTTCAGCACCGGGTTTCAGTGACGATGCGTCACCAGAACCAGTTTGCGCTATGCCGCTATGACTCACACCTGTGGTGAGGTGAAAAATGCCATGGCCAGCGCCTACCACACGGCCCAAGATGAGCTGGAAGCAGAGGAGAGCGGTCCTGGTTTGGCTGAGAAATCTAAGTTGATCACTCGGAAAGTCTCCAACAATTGCTGAAATACCGGGGCGGACATGTCTTGGATAGTTTTTACAGAACTGCCAGAAGACATTCAGATCAACTGGCGCTAAAGTGTTGGGTTGAAACCTCGCACTTACATGGTTTGGCACACACAATGTGCAAGAGCTTTCTACATTATGATCTGCCAAACTCAAGATTTCCTATCCCCCCAGCAGCATGACTAGATCTTCATGCGAACCACGAGACAGTGTGTCATCATGTAAGGTGCCCCCAAGTAGTCAGCCATGAAATACCACTGGCAGTTCCAAGTCCAAAGTCGCGCATGTCGTCCATCAACACATATTGAATGCTCTGTTCTTTTTTGTTTCGGTTCAGATGACAGATCTCACCCCTCCAATCAAGGACATCAGTCAGCCCTATGTGCCTCCGAGCACGCCCACGGCGCCTTGGAAGCAGATGGCCAAGGAATCCATCGTTTGGCATTCTTCGGCACACAAAACGCGTGAAAAAGGGGTTTGTCGGGATTCTACGGTTGGTGTTCTTCTACAACATGAAGAGGCACAGAGATGAAAACAGTTGCACCGCTTCAGACTTCTACAAACCACGCTCGGTGAGCACTGTGCTCATCAGTCAAGATCGGGACAAACAAATGAACTCTGACCTTTTTGGATTTGTTTGTATAAGTCTTTTAGGTCCTTTTGGTGTGGGTTTCATGGGAGTGTGAACTTCATGAACTGCGAGATGGGATACATATGTCCAAGAGGATAGCATCCAGGAAAAGTAGTGAGTGTCAACTAAGCTGCTTGACGCTGTCCTTATTTTGAACCGTTTCATTCTCACTGCAATCCTTCTTGAGTCTTTCCTCAGCCTCCCAAGGTTTCTTTTTTGTCACGTGTGTATCAAAGGTTCTTATACTGATCACATCGCTTGGGAGGGGTGGATCATGAACACCATATTTCAGGACTTTCTTGACCTTGTAGACCATGGTCAATCAATCTAGCGTCGACACGCAAATCCCATGAGTGGTCGACCTCACACCTGTGACGCCTTGCTTGCCCACCAACGGTGACCATGTTCAGCATTTGGGCTGCGATGCCTTGCGGACACCGTGGCCATTTCCAGAGAAGCGTGAAGGGCCACTTATATATGTTCTTGGAAAAGGCAATCAACTGGGCAAGGTGGGGATTCACCTGAGGTGAGATCCACCTTTCGACTGTAATCAAGCAACCCCTTCAACAGTGACTGCAGGTCAGGGTCACCTCATGTTTGATTGAGGAACGTGTTGCCTCTCAATTCCTTCACTGGTGATTTGACGATCGTCGATCGTGTTGTTTCAGGTACTTCCTGTCCCCAAACCTTTAGAGAGAAGCTGGAAGACGTTCATGTTTCACCCCATAGCAGCTGGCTAGCAGAGAAAGTTTGCATTTTCCATCATGGCAAGCGGCAAACACACTGTCTCAGCTGACTCGTGTACGAAAAGTTTGTCCATTTAGTAACTCCAACCGTTTTCCCTGTCGAGTTTTTCATAGTTTTTCATGACTTACCCAAAAGTAACCTGGTTTGGCTAGAGGGATGCAAATAGACCATATTCTTTACCCAGACAACTTCACTTTGTCGAAATCCATCTGGATCTATGAACCCCCAGGTGGGTGCCCCGACACCGACCCAACCAACGGCGAACCAGGCACAGGTGTCGCTCCTGGAGCTAGCAGATTTTACCATTACTACCACTACTGCTGCTGCTGCTACTATTGCTATGCTGATGATCTATTGTGTATGCATGCATGTGCTTTCAATTTCTATGTTTCTTTTTGAGTTCTCTGTAATTCATCAAACAAACATAGTTTCAATCAGTGACACTCTTCAGGTTTCTCAGAGGGGTAGAGGGTTTGAGGCAGAGGGATTTTGGATCGCGACAGCTTTGGAATGTCCAAAAACCACTTGAGGGATTGTCGACATAGTCAGCAAGACCAGCAAAATTAGGTAATCAGTCAATGTATGCAGTCTTCAGAAATGTACCCTGCATTTTCTCTTGCTCATCCTGTAGTAAATGGCACAGGAGACCAAACATTGCATTCACTGCACTGTGGGAATTAAAATTGCACACATCCGATACATCTCATAATGGTTGTCCTTCGGGACGATGCTGTCAGTTGACGAACCAAGTGGCGAACCAGGTTGAGGAGGGGATGAACATGTAGGAACAGTCGACGGTGCAATGGGTTGTAATACATGCTACTTGGCAAGACAAGTATATTCCAAAGAAGCTGTATCCATGCCATTCAGCTTATCCACACATGCGACATCGCGCATTTCTGGTCATGAGATGTTGCCCTTGCACGTCCTTGCTGAGTTATCCATGTGCGCTCGAGCCTGCGCGAATCCAATCCAAAGTTCAATATTATAATGTGATCACTTATGATCACTTATGAAAGAAATGAATCACTTATGATCACTTGCCACCCACAACCTCTTGAACTCTGTCGTAGCTCCGGGGCCATGTCCAGGGACATTCAGTTTGGGAGACTTTGGGGGACGGTGCAAATTGGTTTAAAAGATTATGATTATGTCAAAACAAAACATTCAAAACCATGGTAGACCAGCCCAGCATTGAGGTAGACCTCTTTGGAATGTTCGACTACCATGTCCAAAGCCATCTTTGTTTGTTTCACTGATTGTAGCAATACCATGCAATACCCAATACCCTTCCAGCCACCGGGTATTGTTGGGAATTTGAACTTTCTATTCGCTGCGAATAATCTCGGCATTGATTTCCCAAATTCTGTAGATCCAATGGTTTTGTTTCAGAAAACCCACGGTCTGAAGTTATCGGTTGAACATGATTGGTTTCGCTCAAGACTTGCGGTCATATATGTGTCCAAAAAGTCGATCACAGGAATCCCTTGGTTCGCCTTGGTTCGCCCTTTTTTTGGGGCTTGGTTTCCCGAGAAACGAGTGGCCAGTGGCTGGAAGGAGAGGAATTTTCATGGATTTTCTAAACGTAAACCATAGCACATTTACCATCTAACAAGGGTTTCTATCCATGTAAAAGGAAACTACTACCAGGGGCCAGGAAATTTATATCCTCTTTGTTTCTCACTTGCACAGACAGGACCTAGCAGATGGGTAGAGAGGTAGAGAAGTGTAATTCGGGAAGGGTTTCTCTTTGAGAATGGCAGGGCTCTTGCAGTTGTTCTCGGGTTGAGTGCCATGATGTGTTCTTTTCTGTGTTTGGTGCGGGAGACGTCCTAAACCGCGGTTCTTCCCCGGTTCTACACAAAATCTACTGCGTGCGGGTTGAAATCGGTGGACAGGAGGAGACAGCAGAGGTAGGCGCAGTACAGGTGAGTAATGGGTGATGGGAGATGGAACTGTTGGATGTGTAGACCTGGCTTGGCGACTGCCTTGGTTTGTCATCTTTTGTGGTGTGGTGTTCTGTCCTGGGTTGAGCCCTTCTTTTGGGTGTGTCCAGCGGTTGTGTTTTACTGCCTGGAGCCGCAATCTTAGGGTGTTTGATGAAACGCATAAAAGCACGTAACAAGATACTATCAATACAATATCTTGGCACATGGGACCTGCCAGGCTGCCCTTTCGCGATGTTTCATGAACTGCAGTGCTACCCATAGTTGGTTTGCTGAATCCATTATCCCTTTTGCTACCATCTGTGCGCTTCCTGAGAAGAGGTTCCGCCCCAGCTCCTGGTGGTATCTGCAAGACATCGCAAGACCCGAAGGTGTGGAATGAACCATTGAAACCTATCACTTGGAGAGCCCTCCCCGCGAGACCTCACGGCGTGAATTTCCGGTCTGAGACTTAGTCGGCCAGGGTGAAGCCTTGGCGACGAAGACCCACCAAGAGTGCTTCATCCAAGAGTCCGCAGCCTCAGCGGAGAAAGGGGGCTGGCTTTGGCGAGGCGGTGTCCCCCCAAAACCTCTGAGGAAGGCTGGTAGGAGCAGCACTTTCGGGAATTATTCGGCTCACCATTTGGTGATTCATACAGTAATTGACCAATATGATGGGGCCGGATGATTTGCTCCTGAATTCCCCGGCACATCGAATTCGCAGGGGAACGATGTTTGCACACTGCAGGCGAACGACCAGGGGAACGGCCATGGAAACGACCTGTAGAGCCCCCGGGCGAATGGCTGCGGCGGCATACGGCGTAGAGTAGAACGAGTGCTCTCGTTGTCCGAAGAAATCCTTTCAGATCTCCAAGGGAATGACGTGGGTTGCATTTTACTTTATCAAGATACCCCCGGATTGCTACTCTTTTTGGGCTGTCCTGACAGACTGTGGCCTTCAAAACATCCATCTCTCATCATCTCTCGTGATCCGGCACCACCATGGAGCCTTGCAGGAGCCCTCCAGTCCCTGGCGCTACTAATCATACCCCGCACAATTTCCGATGTTTGAAAGACATCTGGTACCTGAGTAATTGAATGAATTTATTTTCTCACGTGAGAAAACCTAAATTTCATTCAGGAAAGAAGTGCTTGGCGCAAGTTGCGAGTGCTTTTTCCCATCTCTTCAATGGTTCTCGAAGCCGAACAGAAGAACACACACACACACCCATTTCATCCCATTTCCGCGCGGAATCAGCATCCACATCTGCAGGACCGCCAAGAAGTTCATGCCAGTCTTGGAGGGTTGGTTGCTTTTGACCTCCCTCTCCAAGCGCCTCATGTGGGAGGCCAGTCCCCGTCCTCGCACCAAACGCCAAAAGCGACACGGACGGTGGTGAGAGGTGCGACTTTGAAAGTGGGTAATTGAATTTTTTCCGAAGATTGGATTGTTGCTGGAGGTCCTTCCATTGGGTTGCAGTGTGGAGACGTCTCCGGGCTACAACTTGCGACGGGTGTCGGGATGGAAGTTCGATGCGCTAATTTCGCGTCGAGCGCTGCGATTGAATGGTTCTTCCTACTTGGCACCACCAAGTCCATCCAAGTGTTCACGGTTTCAAGAATGCCCCAGCTGCAACAGCATTGCAGCACTGTTACACATCCCATTCCCCAAAGCGGCACAGGGGAACGTAGACCTGATCCGACCGGATCATCGCCCTCCATGGATCGAGCCGGAGCGCCAGGAGCTCGGCAGCGTCTTGGCCACGTTCCAGCATTACGTCACTGGCCCAGTCGTCCACCATCGGTTTGCACGGAGTTGGGCCACCGACCATGACCAGAAATGACCAGAAGGTCTCTGGTTTGGGGCCGAAGGTCTCTTCTTGGACCATCTCCTGACTTTCTGACATTGCACATATTGCACTGTTTCTTCTTCCCAGGATGAACTGGTCGACCCTGGAATACCAGGGATGGACCGTGAGAGCACCAAGGTGAGCGAGAAGGTGGCGGACACCGTGAGGTCTTCCTTGAGTCCTATGACCTTCGCAAGGCTCGGCGGATGTCAGATGTCAGTGTTGCGGGGAGGCTGTTCTGAGTGATGAGAAGGTCAAGGTTGTGTTGATCAATGATTATATTCTGGAGAGTGTTCTGGAGCTATTCGACTTTGGAGTCCTTTAAGCCATTGACCAAATAGTTATTTGCAATGGGGTAGCCAGAAGACTGTGGGTTGTTTATTGTTTTGGTCCGGAATGCCAGCAAGACAGGAGAAGGCAATGGGGGCAGGCGTTTGAAACCTATGTTGATCTCCTTTACCATTACATCATTGCCCTATAAGGCCCTATAGTAAGATGTATAAACAATATGCAATAATATGCATATATCATATGTACATTGCATTCAATATATATATATATATGTAACATATATACAAATCATGTCATTATTAGTGGTTTTGTCGACTGTTGGGATTCTGGAAGATTCTGGAACACCTCACTAACAAGCAAGCCTATAGAGTCCATAGCGGCATTCCGTTGATTCCAGCTCCAGCCAACCCCGAGATCTTGGGAGCAAGCCGCAGTCACCACGGGGTCACCAGGACCTTGGGCAAACATTTGCAAGATGCGGTGGAGCAGGCCGGGCCTGTGCGTTTTGTTTTCGTCTCTTGATGTTTCTTGTACGTGTGCCACTGAGATTCAGAAAGAGGACCTATAGGCATACCTTGTCCTTGGCCTTTGGCCAAGTAGCTTAGAGTCCGTTGCTTGTGTAAGCAAAAAGATCAACCAATTTCGACTTGAGGCAAACATGCTTTGCTCTATCTTGGAACCCTTAGCAGGCACCACACCCACATCCAAGTCTATCTCAGCCGTCGCAGTTGGTCAGCCACGCGTAGACGAATGAAGCATTGCTTGGTTTCCGTTGGCCCACGAGTGGGATCCTTTCCGTGTTTGGCTTGAAAGCCAGCTTGTGTGCACAGACCCATAAAGCCAGAAACGATCGACTCGTTATCAGCAGACTTCAACCAACGGATTGGTTTGACCATTGGGAGCCGCCCACGCGGTTGAACGCCGCCGCGCGACGATGCCGACGCCGGACGCGAGGTGAATTTTGCGCGTGCTCAGCTGATTAAAGCGGAGACCCTTGGCGACCAGAACTTCCTTGAGAGTTCGTTGATCGTCCTTGATCGTTATACTCGTTGGAACATTAAAAACAGCTCCAGCTGCTTTGGATTGTGTTCAGATTGTTTCCAACGTCATTTGCTTAAGACAAAGATAGACAAAGTCATTCATGATCTACAAACAAATACAGATACTGTATACATAGAGTGAGAGAGATGATTCGCAGAAAGTCTTGTTTAAGCATGGTGAACCTGCATGCACCAACACAGACAAACTGAAAGAGAGCCATCCGTGCTGATCGAGTGGCTCATCAGGTTGCAGGGCCCCAGGGGAACTCATCTCAAGGCTGTTTTGGAACCCGGTGATCTGATAGGGCAGCCTAGGGGAGTCCTGAGATGCATGTTGTTCCTCCCCTTGGTTAATCAATCCATCAATGACAATGGCGTCGAAGTCATGGTGAAACCCATCCCAACACTCCATGGTCTGGCATAGTTGCCGATCAGTTGGGGTGTTTTCAGGGGTCAATGTAGGTAAACATGCCATACATAGAGTGTTTGGGCATGGATACATTCTTGGTTGGCAAGTTCGAAATCCAACTCCCAGTGCCAAGCAGATCTCACACATTCTCACACCGCGTAGATCTGTGTGGGATGGTGCGGAACGCTGGCATCTGAAAAAGAACCCCTCACCAGGCAGCTCATGTAGACCACAGCAGCTCCATCCTTGATTGAGAGCATCAAGTATTCTTCCTGGTTTAGGTTTGATCAGGTAACCGTTTCCTCGATGTTTGCCGTGTTCAAGCTCCATGGATATGCGTAGTAGAAATGCCCTTTGTTCCTAGTAGCGTTCTTGTTACTAGTAGTAAGGCCAGGAGCCCCTAGTATCACCCTTTCTCCTAGGTACGACGACTGGAAACAGCTGGGTCTGGAGAACTACATCTATCGTGTGGATGACGCTTGGACCATCCACGGAACGAGTGGATCGGGGGGGGGGCGAGTGGATCAGTGATTTGGATGGCGAGGCCGGCGGTCACTTGTCCCAGGTTCTGTGAGTTTTTTGGGTTCTGATTCTCGGGTCAAATACTACAGGTCATTGCAGGTCAAATCCTGTTTTCGGAAGGAAGGCAAAAGGTGGATACTCCTTCGGAAGGAGAAAAACAAGATGTTTCTGCAATATGCTTGCAGTTTGTGAAGACCACTTGCCCAGTGGCAATTTTTGTCTATGGCTCTGCCTTGCATCGCCGGTTGCTATGCTCGACATTGCATATCAGGCAAGGCGTCTTTGGGCTGTGGCTGTGATTCACTTGTACCACTTAGCAGTCCGCGGCGATTGCATTGATTAACCCATGTCCACAGAATAGTTGGTAATTATCGAGGTCTTATCCTTTGAGACATCAGATCCATTCTTGTCCACTTCCGAATGGATCGCACTATAGTGGAATTTGACATGTTACTGTACAATATTATTCAGCAAGTAGGTCCCCTCAGGTTGACATGGAATCTATCTCAATTGACCGCGTGGGGGGATATTTAGAATGCTGCAGTCTTTCGATCCAAACAGCAATAAGTGGACATGACAGACACATGGCCGCGTCTGTGATATCTTCACAGGGCAGCACTCTACCACACAGAGGGGAGTGGTGTTTTGAGTGCTATGCCGGACTCCAGCAAGGCAGGCCGGTCAAAGAAGCCAAGTTCAAAATCACGTGCGACAAGTGTCATGGAAGTATGTATGGGTGCGAGGACCATTCTGCTCTGATCAAGTGCCCCGCATGCGGTCCAGGGGTCTATATGCACCAGAATCCTGCCAGTTGCTACTCCGCAAGCACCACGACTTCCGATGATGTTGCCTTTGGGTTGCTTAGTGATGCCAAGATAAATGGCTTAGAGGGCTGGTTAGCATCCCTCTCCTTGCAGAAGTACGTTCATGCAGCGGTTTTATGGTGCCATGAGCAAGGTGCATCATCTTTGCAAGAAGTCTTTGAGCATTGGACAGATTTTGCAGAGGCTCTTTCACTGAAGCCATTGGAAAAGGATCGTGTCTCAAAATCTGTCCAGGCGCCGATAGCTGGAGGAACAGCCGGCACCTGGAACAGGGTAACCTTGCACACTGTGCATGAGGAACCAGACTATTTCGACTGGTGGTCCGACCCAAGGGAAGGTGATTATTATCATGAAGAAGATCATTATATTTACAGCAAGCCTGATCCTGATCTATTTGGTGACCATGATGACGCTCATCAACTCGATCATGCAGACATTGATTATGGCCCTGATGATGACGCATGGTTTGAGCCTGATGTGGGAGGATATTCTGATGCTGGCTGGTTTGAGCCTGATCCGGGAGGATATTCTGATGATGGCTGGTGAGACAACACAGCCTTGCTTGCTTACGTATAGTTTGTCAGGCATTCTGCATTCTTATGGAGGCACAAGGACTCCTATATAGTCAAGGTGAATGCCCACAGAACGAGTGGATCAAATAGCGAAAATAGAACGCCTTCAAATAGGTTGCTGTGAGTGACGTCTTGGTGCTAAGACAGGCCTTGTGGCTCAATCAGTGCTCAACCCGGTTCCCAATGTTTATACCAGATTGCAAGCAAACTCTCGGGTTAGTGTGCTTTGAGAGCCCTTGAGGACAGGACCTTCACCTCCAAGTCTCCCGTGGTCGCAGCCACTCACTCCAAGGTTTCCCTCGGTTCTAGTTGTCACGCATTGGTTGCCATCACTGGCCATGACAGCAATTCTTTCGAAGAAAACCCTTGTTTTGCGACCCCCAAGCGGTCGACCCTTCCACATCAGGAGAAGCAGAAGGCGGTGCTATTGAAGTTGAAAGGCCGGAGAAAAAACACACACACCGACGATTTCCGAGCGCCGGAGGTCGGCTTTTTCATCGTCGGAAGAGCTCTCATGGTTGTCATGTGACTGAGCGAACTGGAGAGATGATGTCCACTTCCTCGAGCGAACTGGTGAGGATTTACAGTTTTTGTGATGCATCGTGAGGGGCTAGTAGTTTGGAAGAGTGTTCCGTGTTCCCCATTCCAAACCAAGCATGGACCCTATATGGACTCTATTAAATAATTTCATTTGGCAACCAAACCAGGGGATGTGTGAACATGTTGTTTCAATGTTGCACTCTTGCAGTATTTACATTTACATAGGGATGGCCCTTGAGGACCGCGCCCTTTGTAGGACTCCCACCATTCTTTCGCCAATCTCTCGTCTCTCCCAGATGACCTTTGCTATGGTATGGTCGACTTCATGGAGAAGGTGCAAGCAGTGTCTCGGAAAGCACAACGTGAGGACCAGGCCCCGGGTGTCCGATAGCACAGATATGGAAGGCCGCAAGGCTCCGCAAGATCCGGATAAAGCCGGGTTTAGTTTTATGAAACACAAGAGTGATGTACGTATAGTTGGTGTGTTCAACAACAGCTTTCTCCAGATCCTAGGTTGCTTGCCGACCCCTAGGCAGATGAGAGAACTGAGCAAAATTATCTTGAACTTGCATTCTGCTTGGAACAAAAGGAGCAATGTATTTTTTTAAGATGTGAATGGGCACAACGAGTAAGTAGCAACTCCACAAACATTGTTGTTTTGAAAAACGATAAACAAACGCAGGTATCACTTTTACTAGTTCTAGGCACCTAAAGACGTTTTTGGTGCCTCAATCAATCCACCGAAAGTAGTTGGACGTACTGAAGACAACCTCCAAGATAATCATGTGACGCTTCAGCATCCAACGAGGAAGCCATTTTGTTCGCAAGCGCCCCCAAGCGGTGGAAGTTGAGATTTGATGTGTGAAGGACAACAGCATTGTGTCCCTCCACCTGACTTATGGACGACATAAAGACCACACACATATTAACATATTATGTATATTTATTTACCATTCGTCCGGCAATATGTGTTTTGTTGAGTGGCTGTAGCAGGGCTTAAATTCACATTCACATTCACTTCATGAGGAAGTAGAATAGCCTAACGTCCAGTTCCTCCCAAGATTATCTCCGTGGCGTGCCATGAACTCCACTTCTTATATGTACGTCAGCACCAAATCTCGTTCCTATTCATAGCTGTACTCACCAGGAGAGTTTGGCTCACCCCGGTGATTGAAAGCTTCTGGAAGATGCACCCTGAGCACAGGGGTCATGCCAAACGGTCCGCATTGGTGAAGCCGGTCCACTCATTGCGATCGACCATGCCAAACGGACCCTTTTTCAACGTTGATGTTCTTCTTTTGGTGTTTCGGGAAACATGCATACGTACTGACAAATGTGTTTGTTGTTACTGACAAATGTGTTTTATTGTCTTTTTGTATGTGTTTGTTACCTGCAAATAGTATTTGTCTCCATTGCTTGATGACACCTCTTGGTGACACCTCTCCAGTGTTTGTCTTCGTCTTCCAATTCCGGAAGACACCGGAAGACACCCTCTTGCAAGGTGGAGACGGCCAACCCAGCTCTTCGAGATCCCATGTTCTTGTGGCACATGTGGCAGGATCGACTCCCCGACGACCCGCGGAAGCCTTTTCAACCGGCGACCGCATGAGTGAGTGAGTGAGTGAGTGAGGGAAGAAGACGGATGAAATTTGGACTGGATGTGTCACAGGAAGAACTGCGCAACTAAGAACAGCTGCGACAGACCACACGGCGACGTACACAGCATAGACCGTCATAAACCCGCACAGTTTAGATTGAGAAAGTACCTAGCATGCACTCTTTGGTTTGTTACTTTGTTGTTTCCAATTGTATCCAATGTCCAATTCCCGTGGGCCGTGTCCTCCTAAGAAAGCAACAAATCAGAACATATAACAGACATCCAGCGTTTTGGACTCGCTCAGGAGTCCTGGGGCGCGGTTCGAGTCTTCGTCAAGGTCACCACACAATGCAGAGTCTCCTGGCACGGTGTTCGAACAGACCGTTGTTGTGGGAAACGAACATGCTGAGCTTCCTACTGCGGACTGCTTCCTACACCACCATGTTCTTGACATTCAGCCGACGGTCAGGCATTGGATCGGAGACGATAGGATGGGTTCATTTCAGAGATTCGAAGCCCCTTTGGCTGGGCTTTCTCAGAGACCCAGAGTTTGGGGAAGATTGGGCCATCGACTCTTTTGCTTGAAAGAAATTAATTATATAAACTCTCTGGAGAAGGACCGTGTGGTGGGAATTCGGAGATCATGAGGCCCAAACAGAGGAGATTGAAACTCTCCCAATATCTCCTTCTGCTCATCTCCTTTGACAGAATAAACTTAAGAAAGATCATTTGAATTTATCGTGCATGGAATGGATGGAGTCTTGGGTAACTTGTGCACTTGAAATCACTTTAACGCCACTCTGGAAGCATCGCTCTTAAAAGGCCCTTCTGAGACCGATTTGTCATATTGAGACTGATCTTAAAGGCTAGTGAGTAGGCGACATCGGTTAAACATGGTTGAACAAGGCGACGAGGTTTGCTTCGCTCCGCTTCGCCGTTTCACCATGACACCCACTGAGCCACTGAGATCGAGATCCCCAAGGGCGAGGATCCCAACTCCTTCATGACGCGCATCCATCAGGCGCTTTGACCGGTGACGCGAGAACTGGAGTGCGGCTCGCACTCTCAATCTCGAAGAAACGCAACAACTTAAGCTTAAGTGAGATGAATTGAATTTGTACACATCAAAAGTAAGTGGGGTTGCTTTGTTATGTCCAAGCATTGTGAACCGTTGTTGGACTTGAACATTGTTCGTCTCCCATTGCTGCATCGCGCAGAACAAGTGGAAGAAGTGCAAGGGAGCCTTTCATTTCAAAGAGGACGAATTCCCCTCGGCGGTGATGCTGCTTGGAGGAGTTGTTCAATTTGAGGTTGGTCGCGAAAGCAAGAGTCAAAAAAAGTTTTCCTCAGAATAATAACAATAACTAATAACAATTAAGTAGCTTAGCATCTATATATTGAATTATATTGATATATCCAAAAAACAACAATATATATATATATTTATTAATGAAAATGGATCCACCTTTATCAAGGAAATGTAAAGCACGGAACTGCAGCTCCCTTGGATTCGTCAATCGGCGCCCCTGGCCACGTATAGCCTACAACCATGGCAGGAACCATGTGGTTTGGTGACATTGGAGCGCATGGTTTATCCATTGCTTTGGGTCACTGCACTCCCAAATGGTCTACCACACGCAAACAACCAGTCATGACTACCAGAGAACCGAGGTCTTGTGCACGCTCGGGTGAAGAAGATCCGAGTCTTTTCGGGAAGGATAGGCGCGGGGAAAGACGATCAGAAAGACGATCAGCAGGGACTGGCACTACAGATCCAAGCGTTCAAGAACTGCAGGATCATATGATTCTTTGTGAACGCATGGCTATATAATGCTATTTCTATACTATGTGGGAGCAACGGACAGCCAAGTGGACCCACCGGCCTTACGGAAATCAGTTCAAGGCGTATTTCTTGGGGAGATCAGGCAAAAAGGGCTCAACTACAGTGATAGCTTGAGTCTGTCCTCTTGCCTGAGTCAGTAAACAAGTAGCCAAATTCTAAGCGAAAGGCCTTTACTAACCATCATCATGCACTGTTACTGTTACTGGTAATAGGATAGACCCAATTTATTTTATACATGTATACCACAATTTCAAAAAATATGTCCGTATTTCCCTCGCGATTGGGGCACATGTAGCGATCACCCTTTCTTTCTAATTTTGTTACATGTTACTACTAGTTACTAGCTACACCATAGCACACCAGTTATCTTCCCTTTTCCACACTGTCAATCTATCCTCTTTTGTCCTCACCCGCCAGGAACCGTGTGGTCCGCTACTTCGGCTGCGGGAAGAACCGTGTGAACGTCGAGCCGCCGGTGGACAAGGGCGTCACCGAAAGCTGCATGCAGACGGATGACCCGGAGGTGAAGAGCTTCATGTCGCCTGGCGATGACCGGAGAGGCTGTTGGTCTCCTTGGTCGGACGCTGCCGGTCGGGATGAAACGAAACACACGCCACGCGAGGTATACGATGTGCCCGCAAAATGGCATCAGCACCAAGAGCTGCCGATTGCAACCGGGCTGCAAGGCGAAATAGCAGCTGGTGTTTGTTTTTGACACAAGAACTTTCATTTTGGACCCAATCCTTTTTCAAGACCTACTTGAGCTGTTCAAGCTTTGTTGATCAGTATTTCGATTGGTTGCAAGAGCGGACCAGCAATTGCAAAACAATTATAACATATATATATATACTGTATATATAAGAGAGTCTCCTCGCATGTCCTTGCTCCCCGTACTTCGAAAGCCTTAAGACAATTTATTGGTGCACATCCGGCGCTATGGTTTCAGCCGCTTTTGAAGTGTAGCAGCTTTCAGCATTGTCAATATGTTCATTTGTGTGGCGGCTATAGTATGTGCAAAACTCAAGCGATGAACTGTGGTTTGTAATGATTTGTAGGGGCTCTAAAGGTCCTATATTCTGAACCGTGTAGAGAGATATAGAGTGATCATTGAGTTTCAGGCAGGCACTGAGGACTGTGCTACTGGACCAGGGGCAAGAATGTTCACGATCGGTTGACCAGGACAAGACACTTCTCTTCTCAAGTCCTTGTGTGGATGGCACTCACTCCTTTCAAAATCTTTCAAAAGGAGGCACGGGCTTTGCGCATATGACCCATTGGTTACCTCAGTTGAATGATTTATTAACTTGGACCCTTGGTTCCCCTAGCGGGTTTACGGAAGAAGTACATACAGCGAACAAGAAAGGTTGGAGAAGCAGCCAAGCAATTCGGAGAGAGGCGCGTCTTCGACTGAGGTACGGCCCCTTCTGGGGTGTCTACAGCCATCCGGCCTTCTCTTTGTATGGTTACCACAGCCTGGAAGAGAAGAAGGATAAATCCTGTTTCAGCTTCAGAGGTTTTGACTACCTCGAAGACTCCAGGTAACATGTCTTGTGGCTTGTTGTTGTTGAACCCCCCCGGGACGGACATCGTGACATGGTGCTGGTTTGCAGCTTGACAAACCTGAAGACATCCTTTGGAATGACGTGTGGACCCTTGGTGGTTGACTTCAGGCTGGAACAAGCACACGCCTACGGTCATCTACTGCATGTATATGCAGCTGGTAGTAGTGAAGGTAAGTGGCGATGCAGAGGTTGGAATTACAGATGATGTGCAACGCTCTGCAACCACCTAGGAACCATTGCAATCCTTTCTTCATTATACTTTCCCATGGTTGGGATTTAGGTGCACATCTATCATGTGACATGCAACAAGCATCCCAGCAACTGTCACCAAAAGTGCCCGGCAGGAGTGTGAGCAGAAGAGGGATGATGGTGCACCACCTGCTGAACAATGCCCTGAGCCACAAGTATCTCAGTTCAATCGCTGGATAGCAGGTATCGGTCAAGGTGCCTTGCGCATGCGAAGCATCGATTCCTTTTTTGCAATGTCAAGTCCCGTGGAGAGGGATGCTATTTATGGTAAGACCGCAGTGACCGCTTGGAGACCTGAGTAAACACGTGGGAGGACCTGATCAAAAACATGTATTTTTGCCGCGTTGGAATCCGTAACTATTTCATACTTTTCTCAGACGCTACAGAAGTCCTACGAGAATTGTCGCATCAGCCAGTACTAGAACTGGGCCGATGGGTATCGTCAGCTTTTTTGCTCGTCCAAAACCAACGTATTAACTGTATAGGTGTACAGATATGGACAGATCGTAATGGCATACTTGGGTGATTGATCAATCCTACTTAATTATAATATTTAACTTATTTAGTAGTATCCACCCCTGATAATCCTGATACCAGGAGACAAACACCCCACCAAACCCGGGGACCTACGAACCCTCGTCGTCATCCGAACCGTGTACCGAGGCCGTGGCCTTCCGCGAGCAGGCCAACGTGGCGATGGCGGCGCCGACCTTAGTTGACTCCGCTGGACGGATGTTTGATTGTACTAAAAGTATGGCTGGATGTGTGTGTGTATATGCATCTCACTTGACTTATTTTGCATCTCACTTACTTGACTTATTTTGGGGGGATGATTGGTTTGTTGTTTGTTCTTTGTTTGTTTTCTGAGTATAAGTATTGCTTGGGAATGAACCTGATCTTCCACTTGACGACATTCCTTGGGTGTGGCTGATATTCACATGCAGGATTGGCCTTTGACCATCCGGCCCAACCATCCAAAAGCGCAAAAAACATCCCTTGTTGAGACCCGGGGGGCTGGCGGTTGAGACGAGTCCTCCAGAGTCCTTCAGTTTGCTCCGACGTTTGCGGACGTGCAGTCTGGACTGGTGGTCGCCGCAGTCACGGTCGCTGTCGTTTGAGGACTACATTTATGGCACGCCACCGCCTTTGACCATTTCCAGAAGCAGAGCATGGCAGCAGGGCAACCGAAAGGTCACTGAGAGCAGTGGCTTTGGCTGAATGAAATCGATCCTGAACAAAAGATTGTCAATGCATCAACGACCAAAGACCTCAAATACCGACTAATCAAGTTTGGATTGAGTTCAGGCACCTGAACTGACTTGCTGAATTTTGATTGAGTTCGCCATTACAAGAATGCGGAGAGTATCGGAGAATTGTTTTCTCTATACACCAGTCCGCATGGACACACCAGTCCGGCAGACAAGCCACTAAGTCAGAGGGGGAACCCCATGCACCTCCAGGGCAAACCATCAATCTTTATCATCCCTTGAAAACTTGGAGATGCTGTGGTGCATAGATGCCACACATGACTCACATGACACATGTTTCCACCTGTTTCAACCAAGTGACATCCATCATTCATGGGGGGGCGCAGCGAAGGATGACCGGATGAATGGGATTGAAAGGGAAACCTAACCCGAAGCAGATCGGCCAAGAAACAAACATGCCTAGGCTGGATCCCGGAGGATATGGCCTATCCCTTGCCACAAGACCGGCAGCTGGATCCACCTCTGTGGGAGATGCTCAGGGAGGCAGATCTGAGTCAGCTGAGCATAGCTGACAGCATCAACACATCGTGCAACCATGTGCAACCGGAAGGGCTGGTAGATGTTCATGGATTTCTCTCACTGTCCAGATGATCTCATACAGTCATACACTGTCATACGCTGTCATGCACCATGTTTTCCTACCCGGCCCCACCCCTCCCAACATGGCCCGAGTCGACCAGGCCGAAGTGGGTGAAGGCCTTATGATGATCAGCTACGGCTACTCCGGGGCTGGGAAGACCACCACCCTGTGCCTTGGACAGACCGCAAAACCCGGAGCGAGGACTCCATTAGACCATGTTAGGCCTTGGTCGGGTGTGTTTTTTGTGTATTCAATGGTTTTGTTCGATGACTTGTTCTGTGAACATCGATGTCCGATCTGCTTGGTTGGACTAAGAGGTCTTTAGTCTTCTCCTCTGCAGATGTTTGACAGTGGAAGTGCCCAAGAAATCACCGTCACCTCCCATGAGTCAATGTGAGTCTATGTGAATGGTCTTTGGAGGTCATGGAGGTAATTTGCCAAGGCCTTTGGTTTGGGTGCATTGTTGAGCTCATTGAGCTGATTGCTGTTGCTGTTTTGACGTTCACCAAAAGCATTGTCATATTAGATTGGAAGCACTTGAAAGAAGTAGACGCTTGGTATGTTGAATTACCTTTGAGTTTTTTGAATATATTACGTATAGAATGTTTCCATTGGGTTCTAGAAAGTGTTCTAGCAGCACAGTCAGTAATCGAATGTAGTCGACATAAATAAACAGAACACAATCATGTGCAGGTTCATGTTAAAAGCTCCCACAGACATGTTTGTGCCACTCACACACCTTATCATAATGTCGTTGATGCAGCGATGCAGTTATTTATATGCTGCTTGATTGATTGAAAGACCTATTGGCTCATAGACTATTGTCGGGAGCCGTTGACGTATTGTCTTGAAGATGTGACACCCGAAAGACCACCAAAAGGTTTCATATATGGTTAGATCTGGCATAACTCATGGTTCTTTTGGTTCTTTTCCAAAAAGGCCATCCAAATCCTTCGAAAAACGCATTCGAACGTGCTGAACATAATAGATGTGTGCATGGTATGAAGGACAATTGGGGTTTTCCCTTGGCTTTGTTGAAGAAAGACATGGCTCCGTTGCCCAAGGATCGGCGACGCGACCGCGCCGGTGGGCGGCGGCCGGGGTATCGATGGGGTCTTGTCGCTCTACTTGAAGGAGAATGCGAGAAAGATCGATGAAGCTTGGAGGAGTTGCTTCGTTTTCGTCAGGATTTCCGAAGGATTTCGGAAGTCTGAGAATTGGCCGGTGGATGCCGGTGGTGGTTTCGACCATTGTCCTTCATTCCAACCCTTCCATGTTCATTTGCAGGGGAGTAAGTGTGACCTCTTGAGGGCCTTGATTGATCAGGGACCCTGCCTTTTTTTTGATGCAGACCTCTTTTGAGGAAGCAGGGTCAGGAAGAATTCTTCCCAAGACCCTGCCACAAAGGGACCCTGCTTCTGTGGCGAGCTTCGCTCTTCGCTGCGTAGGTCGCTCTAGTCTGAACACGTGTTGGGCTTTTTTAAGCCGCTTCTTCAAGCGTGTTGCGTGTTCATTTGAAGTGGGGAGGACGTGATCCCTTGGTGTTGGAATGTGTTGGAATAGGAAGGGTGTGGGGGAACAGGACTATATCATGTTATGTTCACGAGAAACAACATGATATGCGTGGTAGGTGATGATTGGTGATGGTTCAATGGATCAGCTGGCTGGGTCCGTCCACTTTGTTTTCGTTGCTCTCCAACTTAAAACTCACATGGTGTCAGACACAAAGGAACCCCCATGAACAAGCTGATCGTGCATAAGTGGGCCCTTGAAGTGTCAATCAACAAATGGTGATATTCAGATCTTCAATGCAGTGCTTCCAGAAGCACAAGTCAGATGCTCCAGAAACGCCATGAAAATCCGGCGGAATCAGAAAACCCATCCTGGTCTGATCCTTTCCGTTGCGCATCAGACCCTCCCTGGGTTCCTCCGTTGGCCATTCAGTCGTGCGTTTGGCCATTCACGGGCACGGCTTCAGAAGCGCCGATGTACACCCACATCGGCTAGGCAGGTACACCTCAAAATCAGTGAGTGGAAATGGACATGTGACATGAACAACAAACAAACAATATTAGCACAACTATTCTTTGTTTGCCTTAGTAAAATGGATGTCGGACAATGATTTGAGTGTTTTTCTTTCCACACCACAGTGCCACAAAACAGACACATGCTACACATACCCGCTCGATCCTGGTGTTCTTCGCTCGCTGAGGACGTGCAGGTGCGCATCTTCGAGGCTCATCTCGAGAGCGCGGAAGGGTCGTTTCTGCACTGACAACGGGAATCTATTTGTTGGCGGAATCACTAGAACCGGAATCAACGGAAATCTCAAGAGTTTCTTTTTGTTACTCTTTTTTTCTGAGGAATCTATCGGAACTTGATTGTTACTATAGCATACTTAGTTGCTGCTACTTGCTACAATGGAGAAGCAAGCTCACATTTCTAGATTCACTAGATTCACTACATCAATTATTGACATGCAGTTGATGACAAGAGCAGTGACTGACACTTGTTCTTCCCATGACTACTTGGATGATCATACGTCTTCTTCTATGTCTATGTTTGTGACTTGGCCCAGGAGTTTGTCCTGAAGCAACATACGGTTCGTCGTTGTATGTTATGTTGTTATCCTCGTCATGTGACTCAACAATTTGTTTGAGGCATCCAACAAATTGAGTCGTTTTGGGTGTGTTTCCTAGTCCATTCCATGCATGTCCATGCACTTAAAAGCACTGTGTTGCCCTCATTGCCCTCCCATATGCAATTTCAATCAACCAATATTGTTGATCCTTTGCCAGTGTCAGGATTCCTGATTTGATTCGCTGGAAGATCTACAGATATGATCCCGTGCGTCATCTGACATGTCACCTGCGGCAAGGTCTATGGCCGTGTGAACGCCTACAACGGGCGCATGCAGAAGAAGACTGGCAGTGGGATCTGGGGCTACAACCTCCGTGAGAAGGCCCCGTCTGAGCGGATATCCTGTCAGGATCATGGCTTTAGACACAACTCCATCTCCAGGAGAATCTGGCAGAAAGAACCAGAAAGGGGAGTAGTTTCTGTCTCAAGATGAAGAATTTGGAGAGTTGTCTAAGTTGTGTTTTCTTCTACTAGTGTCTTTTAGGGAGTTCTCTTTTTGTTGAGGCAAATCCTTTGGAGAGTACCTAAAGCCAGGGAGAGTGCATCCATAGCATTTCCCTTTGATGTGAGATGGATGAGAAAGCATTTTGTCAAAGCTAGTGAAACTGAAGGTGGAGGTAACAAGAAGAGGAAGAATCGGATAGCATTTGTTGCTGGCGTTCAAGACTTCGTGGATGCATGCTCATGCCAGAGGACATGTTTCAGAGTTGTCCTTTTTTGGACCGGAGGCACTGGAAGGATGGAAACCGTTGATATCCCAGGATCCCCAGCGTCACCAGCTAGGGGGCCAACACAATACTTAGATCATTTTAGAATTCACAATGCCTTGGCTGCACTGCCGAGACCTCCACTTACCTGGGCGATTCAACGGCGTTTGAAGACGACGAGGGTGTCTTGGACGAAAAGACTTTTGGTTGTCCAGTGGCTGGTGGACGGGGCTAGAATACTCCTGAAATGCAAGAAGCAAGTTATGTCTTGGAAAAGCCTCGAGTCGCATTTGGAGTTGGAAATGTGTTTCCCCCCTGCCATACTAGTTGCAACGTATAATAGTGTTTGTTGAAGTTCATTTAATCCTTTGTGAAAGCCCGAATACACTGGCATGAGAGTCCGGTGAATATGTCTCTTAGGCTGCCATTTTCTAAGCAACGAAAGGAAGAAAGAAACAGTCGCGGATTCATAAGATAGTCAGCCCTGCTGCCAAGTGGATTCGACACTTTGAACACTTGCCACACAGCTAGCTCCACTCGGTTGGAGAGGATCCCTAACCCGAACCATGCGGCACAAAAGGTGGCTTCTGGCTTGAGGAACATGGTGTAAACTGCACAGTGCACTCCTCTATGTTTGGGAAATCGTCTATTTTGCACTGGACGGATTCCACGATCGAGGTGAAGGCAATCTCGACCTCCCCAAGTTGGAAGCTGCTTTGAACAACGATGAGTTCACATTTAGCATCAAGGCGACTCCCAGACCCCAAACGAAGTCGCCGCAAGTCGCTGAAGTCGCGCGGAGGCTTAGCGGTGCAACCTCCACCGTTTGTGGCTCTATGTTAAAGACCCTTTTGCGGGGTGTTCCACCGTCCGGTCGTCTGAAAGGGATCTGTCAAGGCTGGTCTTGGTTGTCAAAGGAAATCGTTTGGAGAACCTCAAGGTTTTGGCCTCATTGCCAATAATATGGTACAGTAATAGTTTTGTTGAAGCCTCCATATATATATATATATTATGATTATGAGGATCAATGATGGCTCTGTTGCATTCATCATGGGCACTGAGCTGTGATACAGTTGCAGCCACTCATATGGGGTTTAGTCGATGGTGGGAAAAGCAGGAACGTTCCGGAAGGTGAGCAGTTTTTCACCGGAGATGAAGTGGTTCATCGGTCATCCAGAAGGTTGGTTCATGTTGGTTGGGATTCTTTGGGTGAACCGGCCCATGACCAGTGACAGTCGGTAAAAGAGTATCACTATTTTTGAAGAAGGCCTTTACTATTCTATAAATCTCATCCACTGGACCCTGGTGGGATAGACCCAAGGGATTCTCCGTTTGGGTCGGCGTCGGTCGTTGGGGTCCGGCGGGTTTGTGCGGGCAGATGCCCAGCCAGGCCTTCCGTGGGCAGTTCTTCAAACCTTTTCGGGTTGGAAAAACGAGAAAGACCACCCGACCTCACGTTCCAAACGAAGGGTGGATGGCAGCCAGTCGCTGTATGTCGGAGTCGGATGACACTTTCTTTTTCCTCAGTAACGCAGGGGAGTGGAACACTTGATGTTAGTGTGAATCGGAGTGTAGATCGTGGACATTTTGCTTCTGATCTCTTGTAGGGTGTCTTTGCAGATTTGTCTCTTTGTCACTTTGACCCAGCCTGTTTCCCTGATCTGACTCTAATCTCATCCAAAAAGTTGTTTGTTTTTGTGCAGATGATTTCATCATGGTGAATCGAGTAACCAGAGAATTTTGGCCAGGAGTGTTCACCAGATCTTGTACTTGTGGACACCGATATTATATATATACCCCAGAAAACGAGTGCGCAACGACAAACACAATCACACACGAAAGCACAGGAAGACCTTCCCCCACACCCTTAAAACCAAACAACAACATGGAATTTCCATCATTTTTGTGGCTTCTCATCATCTTCAGATGATTGGCTGCCTGTTTTGGTTTTCGTATCGCCAGACCGATGACCATCGGCCAGGCCCAGACGCCGCCCTCTCTGAGTGGATCCATCGCGTGGCATGAGCAGGTGAAGGAAGTGCTTACAACCATTGAGGCGGCTCAAAGCATCAACTGCAGGTTGGTGGAAACAATATTGTTGTTTTTCTCTGCCAAGCGTTGGCTGGGTCTTTTTGTTGTGCTTTTTGGTGTGGGTTTCGTGTCGTCGTTGGTCATTTGTGATTGTTGGATTTGTTGGTTTTGTTGTTGCTGCTTTGAAAAGGTGCTGTTCCTTTTGACCAGTTTCCCTTTTGACCAGGACCAGGACCAAACATAAAAGAAGCATTCCTAGAAAGAATCATAATCAATGTGAACCAACGCATGTGACTTTCTGTTTGGTTTGGCCCAAGTCAAATATTCCATGATCAAAGTGGTCTTAGAGGCTATTCAATTTTCAAAATGAACATGGCACCCCAAAACCACAAGGCTGTAGAGGAAAATGATCTTCAACGGGTCAATTCTCAGGTTGCCCATGGGATTGTGTGGGGGATGAGCAATCTTCAAGGCCTTGTTGGGGTCACTCATTCCCACGGATTCAGGACATCCGCCTGGACGAGGATCAGTTCAAGGCAGGTGGTGAGCCCATCGCACACATCCGCCGCTTGGAGAAGGAGATGCCCCCGAGGAGATCGCAGTTTTCAGGTTCTGATCGCAGCTTTGGGCTTTTTGGAGGACCTGTTCTTATCAAACAGATCCCAATCCGTTCGTGCGGATCCCTTGCAGATGTGCCGCTGACAGAAAACATCCGCAGAAAACATCCGAAGGCGCCCAACAGTCGTTTTCACCTCGGGAGATGCGCATGCGGTTTTCCTCGCGGCAGATGTCCGGCGATTGAAGTCCTCTCTTTCACTTCAGGAGACATGGTTTCCTTCTGTATTTGTTGGGCGTCCAACCAGGAATTGGCGAAGCCCAACAAGCGATTTGAAGAGGTTGCAATTTTAATGCATTTTTGAAGACATAAAGCACGGACAGGTGTCACACTCGCCACTTTTTGTTGAGAACTAAAGACGATACCAAAAGTCTCTGCTTCATGCAAGTAAAATAAGGTACATCAATCCTATAGGAGTTTCTTTGGTTCATTTTCCTGGGAGGCTCTGTCCCAGTACTTCATCGTTCGCCGAAAAAACTGACTGCCATCCGAAATTCACCCCGCCCCCATGGTTCCTTCCCATCGTCGATGGCACGACCAAGGCGGCACGGTGAACAACCCCAAGTCCTCCCGCGGAACGCTCTTCGTACTGACCAACGTCTATTTCAAGTCAGGCCCAAAGCGATCAAGAAATCAGGTCTGTCAGGTCTGTGTTTTTCTCCACCAAACGACCTTTTCCTGCGTTTGCGATAACTTTCGTGCCCTGGGTTGTTTGGACATATTAAAATAGCTTCAGTGATTCCTCAGGGATGTCAAGGGGTCAGTGGTTGACCTCCTCACGGTCCTCACATGTCAGGTTGAGTTTCTCATGTGACATATTGTGTGGACCGTGGACCTGTCTAAGATTGGAAGCAGGGCAAGTGTGCGTACCATCAACTGCAACATCAAGAAGATGATGATGAAGAATAAGATGAAGACAAAGAAGGTGATGGGAAGAAACATGATGAAGAAGAGGATGAAGAACCAGAAACATCATGGTTAACTCACCATGTGTCGCCGGTCATCCGCCATCGGCATCCCGGTCACCACCCGCCCAGGCGTCATGGCGCCGATCTCCACAGTGGACCTCGCAGGCTCCGAAGATCCGGCAGTGGTGGAGCCCAGTGATTTCGGGGGGGTGGTGGGTGTCAGGGAGAAGAGAGCGGAGGAGGGGGAAGGTTTGAGAAAGTAGTTTTTATATGTTCAGTCATCGGAAGTACGTGATGTAGGTTGGGGGGGATGGTTGCTTGGTGTGCTTGGTCAGCTGGTGGCGACTTGGGGTAATTGGTTGGTTGGAAGGCGTGCTCAGAAACGGTCGGTTTCACCCCCCAAAACAAATCACCAGATGTTGAATTAGTCACTAATTCAACATCGTGCAACATCTCAAGACTGCTAAGTGATATGTAATTGCATGTATATAATTCCTTTGTTCCTTGATTCTGTTTTGGGGTCCCTCCCCCTTGCCTTGCCAAGCAGCCTGAGGTCATGGTCTCCGGCTTCTTGCAGTTCAAGCTGAATCCAGGCAGCTCTTCTTCGACCTGCGCGACGGATCAGCGGTTCTTCGGCATGGCGAGTCATTCCGCGAAACCCAAAGTGATTGGCTTTCGGCCGTGCGGTGATATGAAAGGTGTGGGTGAACGAGGCAGATATTTCAATTGCACAAGTGACTAGTGTGTTTGCTTCAGATCTTGGGATGTTGAAGCCAAAGTCATTCTTTCATGAAGACTTAGAGCCGCCAGAGGAAATTGTGTGGTGTTTCTAGTCAGTTTAGAGTGGCATGGTTGAAGGTTGTTGCAGACCAAATGGATGAACTTGCCACCCTTGTGTGCCTTCGGTGCCCTATGCCCTTCTCAAGGTGTGTTTTCCATCGTGCCAGCCTTCTCTGAGATAACGCATCAGGGACAGTGACAGACCTCTTGGAATCAGTTTGGAAGTCACTGACTAATGACTCTGGTACTCTTCTATCATCTTCTATCAATACTAATGCTCTAGTGACTCTAGATCCCTATTGGGAAACAACTACAGTATACTTCCCTCCTTTTCACCCTTCAAATGCGACTTGCCAGGCGTGCCGGAATGTGATCCTGAGTCTGGGAAGCAGCCATCAGACCTGATGAACATGCCCCTCAGTGATGAACATGCGACAAACCTATGGAACTTGTTTTGGAGGTGAGGAAATGTCGAGCTAATCGGATCTTCCAGGGGTGAAAGACACTTATAATAAACTTTGAGAAGGGATTCAGATTTGTCTTTCCCTCAGGCAATGAACCCTGCTAGCACTAGGTGTGAATCCATTTTGCCATGTGACAGTGGCTGTTCAGTCTAAACACCACAAAGGAGTGATTTCGTCGAAGGAACAAGTCACGTGAAGTGGAGACAAATTACATGGACATACCTAGATCTTCAGTCCGGCACTTTTACAGGGTCCGGCGCCGGACTTCCAACTCCGGCGTTTTTCTGGATTTGGTCCGGCGGTTTTTCCAAGTCACTTGAAATGTGGATTCTCAAGGCTTTGCATTCTTTGTGGCTTGCATTTCTTTGAAGGTAATGATTTGCTTGCAAAGTGTGCTCATTTGCCTGTTCCGCTGTTTTCTCATTCCACCGGTTTCAGCATGGTTCACACTGGATCAATCAGATCCGTTTAGGTGATCTTCTAAGTGAAATCGGATGAAATTGGTACAGTGCGATGCACGTGTTGAAAGACCCAAGTGAGAGTACCTAAGCTGAAAGAACATAGGCAAAGATGTACTCCCATTGTTTCAGGATGTCGGGGCGCTGGGATATAATTAGTTCTAGTTGCGCAGGCTTGCAGAGCCTGCCGGACAAGTTTTGGGCTGTGGAACATGTGTTGTTCAGAATCTCAATGCTTTGCAGAGAGTTGCTAAGAAAAATTGCACGTCGTAACTCCGGCGTTTTTTCCCGTAACTCCGGCGTAATTTCCCGTAACTCCGGCGTAATTTCCCGTAACTCCGGCGTATTTTGTTGGACTCAGTCTTTTGAATTTTGAAAAGTTTTTCACCTAAGAGTTTCGACAAGAACCATGAGTGCTGCTACTTTATTGGCGGGGCCGTCCTGAGGCAAGCAATAAACACAATTTAAAACCATATAAGAATCATGGAGAGCCACTTTGTAAAAAACAATTAGAGACACGGGTGCAGAGAAATAGGGGTTCCTTGCCACATACTCCTTGGTTTCTTCTTGGAAGTCTTTGCTTGGGCACAAGTTTGCTTATATTTTGTGATGGTTCTGCTCTTAGGCCATTCGGAAGATGGGCGAGGGCAATGAGAACGGGAAGGCTCCAGTGCTGGGTTGTGGAATGAGTGTGTTCCAGAAAAAACTACTTGTGGCGCAAAGGCAGTTTGCTTGTGTATGATCCAGCCTTTTATCATCTCTGTTTTTTCAGAATCTTGGATCCGGATGTTTTTTCAGGTCTCCGGCGTTTTTTTCGGAATCCGGCGGAAAAATTTGCCGGATTGAGGTCCGGCACTTTTTTCCGCCCAAAGGAGGATCCAGGTATATCATACAACTTACTTTCATTGGGATAAACATCATCCAGATTGCAATCTCTGGCCATTCTTCTTCTTTGTTTCGTAGCAAGTGTTCCAACGAATGCTCTTGGAACCCAAATCACCCGCTCGATCGACCAGGTTTACCGATGATCGGGGCCGGGACGGTCGTCCAGTCGGACGGTTCCAAACAGGAACGAGTTGTGGTGACGTGACGTTTTAGGCCGGTGACCGAGTACTGTACCTAGTACTGGTGGTGCTTTGTGAAGCCATAGACTGATTTAGTTGTGCGCTGCATGTGAAAAAAAGTACAATTCCTGAGGTACTTGGCCACACTCAGCTACTATGACCAAATGGCTGGACCTCTGGCATATTGCTGCTGAGCTGGCAACGAAGCATCGCGGAGCATCGCTAGACGAAGCCGGCACGAAGGATCGCAACTGATCGCCCTCCTGGCCCCCGAAATTCTTCGCGCCTCGCGCCGCGGAGGCTTTGACCTCAAGGATGTCTTGATGGAGTGCGATCGCGCCAATCCCGCGCGAGGATGTGTCGATGTGGAGCTGGCGAGTGGCTTGACATAAGCGGTGGGAGGTGGAGACATGGATTGATGAGAGGGGATTTGGTACGTGGCGGCATGTGGTAGTATGTAGAGTCAGTATAGTTTGGATTGCTACATACCAATAGCACCAGGGATGTTACTGAGAAACTTGCTCAGGCGGAATCAAAGAGATGGTTCGCCCGGATCTGCAAAAGCCTGGTCAGTGGCTCTTCAAGGTGAGCTGGGAAGTTGGGAGCTGATCACATCTGCGGTGATGTTGTGAAAAACTCATCAACATGAAAGTAGAAGTCTTCTATAACTATATATAGTAACGACCAAAGCTACTAGCTTGGAGGCCATCGCTTTATTGGGCTTGGAGCCCATCGCTACGAACGTAGCAGGAACGCTACTAAGTAGAATACACGAGCATCGGTCTTTTCGCGGAACTTGGAGCTTGGAGCATCGGATGGCAGATCCATCCGAGGGACCCAATGGGAATGAATGGGTGCAGAATGGATGAAATATGATGAACTCCAACCCATTTGCCAAACACCAGTGACTGGCGGTGCCCCCTTCTGCCGCACTTCCGCCGCAAAAACCTGCCAGGACCCCAGGGGCGTGGACGTGCCGAAAGTCTTCGAGTGAGCTGGACGGCTGGGAATGCTGAGCTCAAGACATGGGAGGCCTCCCACGTAACGACCCTCTGGAATGAGGGAAATCTATTGGTTGGGGCGTTCTCCCTATTAACATACACAACCCATGTGGTTTGGTATGACATGGTATGACCATGTATGACCTAGGACCAATCCACCTGGACCTTAACCCCTTGGACAGTCGTACATTGGTGGTCAGCCCAGAAGCAAGATTCTTGTTGAAATAAGGAACTCTGTTCATTGCTCCTGTTCTGTCAATTGGGATCAATTTGGACCAAAATGCTTGCGTGGTAGCTTCACTCAGGATGAATGAGGCGGATCTTCCTGTCCTTTCAACAACCCGAACACCAAAGGATCATTTCTGGATGCCGACCCCAAATGTGAGGGGATGCTTATATGAACTCTGGAAGCATGCTCGGTACATAAGTTAAGACCAGCACCTAGCCCGCTGAAGCCAGAAGTGTGAACCACCCTAGTTCCAGTGGTGTCATGAGATTTACGAGAAAATGACTGGTCCAAATGTGTGTAGATTCTGTATTTTGCTCCTGTCTCTATATTTATCAAAGTACCATCAGAAACCAACAAAAGCGGAGGATTGCAGATGGATCAGACACATCTTGTAAAGTAAGATTGTTTTCCTGGGACTTTTGCTCACTTTCATGTTCAAATTTTGATGGTTGGTGTGTGAAGATGTGTGAAGAAGGGTGCCTATAAAAACATTGCCTAATTACTGCAGTTATTTCCACTGATCGGGTTCACATGGCACCCTGCTATTGGGGCAAGTTCGGCATGATCCCCTAAACGCTGGATGTCGAAAGCATGGAAGCAAGGATTGCTTCAGGCAAGCTGAATGACAAGGTGAGGGAATCGCGGCAAGCCAGCTCTGTTACCCGTTGCTTGCCCAAACCATGCTGCCCACACAGGTACGTTGGAGAGAACTTCGAGAAGAAGAAGTTCAAGGCGGGGTTCACATGAGTTTTAGTCGGCCTCGCTCTTCAGACGTCACCTGCTGTTGATGAAACGGATTGTCATTCTACCTACAACACAGCTATATATTTGGTTGCTTAATGTCACTCCCCCTGCACACCTTTCACGGAAGTTGATATCATACGCCTGAAGAGATTCGGCACTGAACTAAGCCGTTGGATTTGCCCCTTTGCTGGACTGTCCTCTCTAGCAGTGTGGAGATGGACATGGGAATCCAGGTTACTGTGAGGACACTTTTCCCTTCAGATCAACCTCGTGACCTCATAAGACCTTTTGACATCTTTTGACCTCATTTAACCTGCGCAGTCGTGCTACAGTCGTCTTGCTGCCATAGAAAGTACAGTAGCTGCCTATCACTTGAAAAGACCTTGACTCACTGAGTTTGATATGTCAAGTGTGAGATTAGGTGGTAACGGGCATCATCACCACCCAATTATAGTGGACACTGGACACTTGCATTGAAGGGGGGCGATGGGCTATTTATAGCCGATTCGACCGATGGAGCGGACATCATTCTCTCCACAGAATATGTTTCCAAAAGTCCAGCTTCCATTCTCATGGGCAGGCAAGATTCAAGCAGGAGACCATTCTCGCTGCTTTGGAAGAAGGCGTGGTTGCCGCACCCTTCGTGATCGTGGGTGGTGGGTTCAAAGTGGTGTTAGCAAGAGCACCAATAAGGAGCAACCCTTTTGTTGTTGCCCCGCACAAAAGACCGCGCTGAAGTCCTCGGTCCAAAGGTCGAAACCTGGATGGGTCTGCAATTCAAGATTTGATCACCTGCCGGTGGTTGAAGATGTTTCATACACCAAAAGCAATGATATCATCACTACCGGTACTTTCAGTAAACGCCTTCCGCCACCACCTGCCGGACCCGATGCGGACGGCTCCACAAGGCGACGTGCCGGGCATCACCGAGCTCCGCGCAGAGTCCAATCCCTTGGGTTCTCTGGGCTGCACCGGAGAGCACCGGGGAGCGCGCAGAGAACAGTCGATCCGTTGCACAGATATGCACAGATCCGCTCTGAGCTGCCAAGCAGTGACGAGCGGATCGATCGGAGAGTGGAGGCGAGCTCAGTGTCCATGCATCACCGTGACGGTATGCCCTGGAAGAGACCCACATGGGAACCTGAAAACCACTGGTGTGTGGAGGACGCTAGTCGAAGTCTTCTTTCGATAGCACCTTTCTCAGATCGCTTCCCAAGGCCATCAAGGCCATGTGCAGCACAGATTGAACATTTTGGTTTGGGCTGCTTTTTGTTGCCCCGGAGAATCAAGCAGAGCTGGTGGTGATGTGCACATTCTTTAAAAGTTGTTGTGTTTTTCAAGAAACTCCGCTACTACGGGCTACTACTGTACTATAGCTGTGACGCAGATGTTGCACGATGTCATTCTTCTTCAAGAGGAGTCATTAAAGCATTAAAGCAAGTTCAGATTGGTACTCGTATATAGAAATTAGATAGTCAATGGTGCAAAGATCAAGCTGGACGTTGCAGCCCCAAGTTTTTTAATTCCCCGCTAATTGCGTTAGAAGATGACGGCTACCCAGTCGGCTACCCTCTTCTTCCAGGATCTTCCAGTTCCATCTCTAATCGGTGTGCAGCAAGAGTTTTATTGGGGTTTGATTGGTTTTGCAGGTGGTGTTCCACTCCAAAAGCAGACATCACGGGCTTTGTTTTGGGCCCCAACTCACAGTCGATTCTTTGCATTGCACTGAGGTGCAGAGTACAACTGGGTCGAACGCCTTTGGGGCCGCAAAATGGTGTCTTGGCTGTCTAGCGACAGTGTGTGAGGCATATGGAGAGGGAAGATGCGGGCATGTCTGAGTTCGCCCGTAAGCTTCCACAAGATGGAGAGATCACCCCTAAATCGTCCTGGGTGTCAGTCGTTGATCTGGCTCCTCAGCACTGAATGGAGCAAAGAATGGAGCTCAGATTTCAACATGGGTGTGCTGATCTTCCATTCAGGTCGGCAAGGGTGAGAAGCGGAAGCTCGTTGAGAGCGGCCCAGCAATGATGGACGAGAAGGTCTTTGGCCCTTCGGAGAAAGTTGGCAATTCTAAAATCCTAGACAATCCTAGCAATTTGTGAGATAACTGGATTCAAACTGGGCTGCTTCACGCTGTTTCATGCTGTTTCCTTGGATTTCATGGATTGGAAGGCATTTATATAATGGGATTCGGATCAGTTTGCTCAACAGTGAGTGTTTGCTTGTGGTCTTGCGGATCTTTGCTTGTCAAAGCAAACAAATCGGAGAACATCTCTTTTTTTCAGATCTCCACCCTGATCGAACGAGTTGAACTCAATCAGCCCACAGGTTGGACTGGAGACGTTCCACCACTTCCCAGGATCCATTGACGAAGCGCCATCACCTCTTTGGTCCACCGAGGCAAAAAGCTTGCCACCAGAGAGTTGCTGGGCGATGGCGCGACGGACCATCAACCGGACCGACCTGGACCGTCGGAGAGTCCTACCCGGACCGTGACCGTGTAGGGTAGTCCAGGCAGGACACCCAGGGCTCTAAGAGTAGCCATATATGTACTATTGGGTCCTAGATCTAGCCTGTTTAAGCTGGAGAGCCAACTTATGTACATTGTACTTTAACTCACATGAGTCCAAGTTGTAGGCCTTCAATTGACCTGCCAGTTGTTTGGACCTCGGAAGCGTTTCAGAAAGTGGTGACTTTCACGGATTTGCCGTGTTCTTTTCGGTCAGGCAAGTCGGAGAAATGAAATGAAGCTTGCGCATGTTTGACTTTGAGAATTGTGGATCTCTCTCAATAGAAACATAACACCTTTTTTACACAGTCTGACAGTTGTTTATTTTGGGGGGGACCCCACTACAAGACTTCAGAACATGAAGTGTGAGACCTAATTGCACAAACCAGTGAACTCCGCAGCCCACAGTCAGGGTGAAGTCTCTCAGTTCTTAGTGAGACAAGATGCACAAAGCTGAAAGGACCTCAAGCTGATTGTCCTAGCATGCCCAAAGGTGGAGCTCCGCATTAGGAACTCATGCAAAAGGAGCTGAGCTCAAAGGTCATGCAATTGACTGGTTGTCCTTGATGTTGATACAGAGGAAAGATTCGGAAAGATCATAAGTGACCGACATCCCAAATGACGTTGAGGATGGTTCTTAGGATTACACCACGGCGGCCAAGAGTGCCCATCACCGGGATTCACTCAGCATGGACTGTCTCGCACGGAGCCGGGTGGAGCCGGGTGACACGACGCGAGAACAGCTGCACCGAGTTACACGGAGAACGGGAACGACAAGCCACGCCTCGGCTTGGTGGAAATCCCCAAGATGCTTCTGAGCGCTTTGGATTTCATCAACCGCGGCAGGTTGATTTCTATCGTGGCGAGCAAGGATGTGACATGAATGTCATGCAATTAGCATGAATTAGCTAGCAGCTAGCGGCTAGCGGTGAGTCAATGCTTGTAAAAGCTTTCCAAAGCGTGGTAGATTGTTATCGCTGCTAGTCACGTCCATTTGGTGCATTTTGGGGGGTCAACCAGGATCCCCACATTTTAAGCCACACACGAAGTTGTTTGTTTTCTTTGATACAAGACATGGCCCATTTTCTGTGCCCAACAGGCAGCCCGGTGGCCCTCCATGTAGGGGCGAACAGGGTTATGAGCTTGAAAGACACCTGCAGGCAAAGATAAGCAAAGTATTGTTCAGGTACTTGTTCCGAACAAGTTGTCTACTTTCTCCGAGTTGTTTTTCCTGCTCCGATGTTTCTTTCTGCGATGTGTGTATGAGGTACCAAGACTAAGACCTGGCACGATGAGAAGTCCTCCAGGGGCTTGCAGGAAAAGGCACGACCAGTGACCAAATTTCCATCCAGGATTTCCTTTTGGGACTCTCAGCTGGTAGGTTGGTGGAGTCACCCCGCCTCCCTGGTCCGCAAACTCCGGATGGAATGGAACAGAAAGCGGTGATGTTTTCTTTCACCGGGACTTCTTGCCATTTGCAGCACGACGGATGGTTTTTTTCAGGGGGAGTTCCGGATCCTTTTCAATTTCAGGTTTGCGTGAGGGACATTGACAATTCAAGCAACAAGAGCTTGCACAAAAGATTCCCCCCAAAAGGAATGCAACATAGGTCACAACATCTCAAGGGTTTGCCCCTGCCCAGCTGCGAATGGTGCCATGGAAGGAGAAGTTAAAACCGTGTATAGCCAAGGGTGCCCATGATTGTGCTTGAGAATCGGACCCCAGACAAAGAGTCAGACAAAGCACGACGAATCAGTACCGTAAAGCCTATCGGGCCTATCGGTAGATAGTCACTCTAGACTATAATAGTAGATTCCCTAGACCCTCCCAGACCCTCCTCACGCTGTCTTTTGGGCAGACGACGATCTGGAAAGAGCAGCGTGAGAAGTTCTTCCGAGCCGTCCAGGTCGCGGGAGATGAAATCTCCGTGCCACCGGGAGATGTTCATGACCGTTGAGTTTTGTCACCGTGTGTTTGAGATCATGTGGAGATGATCGCTGACAAATTTCACCTGTCTATATTACATTACTATACATGTTTGTATCACAATAGCTATCACAATGTATACATTGATATAACAATGTTTCGGTTCGTTCTGTGTTGCTATGTGTTCTCGGGGTCTTTTTCTCATTCTGTCGCCCTTTGCCGGCTTCAGGACTATGTGGGACGCTACAATGCTCAGCCGCTGCGACTGCACAAGTCTAGCATCCGAGCGAACCAAAGAAATCAAAAGACAAGAAGCTTTGGATACATCGGACTCTCACCTTTCAGAGTCCAGTCTCACCTTTAACCTTCAGAGTCCAATGGGCCCCCAGTTTGGGGCATGCCTCACTCAGTCAGATTCATCTCTGGAAAAACGGATCTTTGGAAGCCGACCAATGGGTTCGACGAAGGATTCGCGCTGGTATAGGCCACAGGTTTGTTCCGAATGGAAAGAGGAAAGGACGGGGGGTTCTATCTCCGCATCTCCCATCCCTTGTGATCCCGCTCGTCGCTAGTAGCCGCTAGCACCATCTTTCACAATCACAGCCTCCCTGGAGATCGGTCACGGCCCGGTCTTGAGAGCTCACACTCCAAACACATCCACTGCCATGTTGCGATGGCACCTCCTGTTGGTACCATGATGTACCATCCAAGTCTCTTGACCTGACCTTGAGACCGCACGACGAAAAGCCGGCCTGAACATGGTGGGTCCTCGTGCGTTTGAGCATTTGAAACCATGCAACTGTTATGCTGAAAGGTCGACAATGTCATAGGCATTGACGCTTGTATGATATTGATATATCTTGAGAGATTGTATTGATACTCATTTGAACGACCTCCCTCAACAATTCCCTGCTCGCATATGGTATAAACTAGGCTCCAGGATGAGTAGACCTTTGATGCTCAGACGATGATATCTCTCACTTCCATGAACAAACAAATGTCCGGTTTCGTCAGTTCAAGATCACGCATTTACCAGCTCAGTACTTCACGCTGTACTCACCCAGTACGCTACTCGCGCTTTGGACGGCCCCCAGGGAAGCCAACAAGGAGTTCGATCGCCACCTGCGCTACTTCGCTTCTGCCATCGGGCCCATTGCACCTTGGACTGACTCCCGCCGAGACTGCCTGCGGGGAGTCTTGGCAAACTGTTTGGAATTAGAAATGGGTGGAAAGGACGTGCAGGTTAGATATTAATCCAAAGGATCACAAGAATTCACAAAGTGGTGGGTCCTATATTTGTTTTGAGAATTTTGGAGACAGGTAGATGTTGATCTTTGGATGTTTTTGGTAAGATGGGGCTAGGTTGTAGAAAGGGAAGTGCTTGAGTATATAGTCTAGCTGCTGGTGCTGGGAGGACATATGACTATACTCGATGAGTTGCCTTTCTGAAGGAAGTCATGTCCCAAGTTGGCTAACCCTGGAATGTGAGATATGGCGCAAAAGCATGCCGATTGGTTGGACAGGCAAAAGGGCAGGTCGGTGACTTTCCAAAAGTTGCTGGGTGGTTTAGAGGTAGAGCCACAGTTGCAAAGACAGATGTACCGACATTGTTAACCGGAGATCACCATCAGTAGTCGAGTAGTCCATTTGTTCCAAGTTGGCGTTCAATAAGGTCGAAGGCTGGCTTTTTCCTTCTTTGTTATAGTGGGCTCAGCGTGAACTACTTTGGCTCAGCGCTCATAGAGAAATTCCACATGCCCTAGCTTACAAGCCAATTTCAGGTGCTGAAGGATCGCTACTAGTTGAAACAGCAGATCTGTGGATCCATAGACCAATGGTCTTGGCGCCGTGATTGAAATCCAATTCAGGTTGAGGAGGCGTTCTTCATCAATGAAGCTTTGAACGACATGAAAGGCTTCTCGGCCTAAGGAGCTCCAAAAAAAGTCGCTCGCTTCGCTATCGAAGGCCGAGTTTCTCCAGGAGTTCATGAGTTCTTCGGCCATCTCACCATTTGCTAAATGATCGACAGTTCTTCAGTGTGAGACCATTCAGCACCGTCTTAGACGTGAGAAGCAAGCTAATCCCCTCAAGAAGCGAAACCCTTGGCCGAGCCCATTTCTCAGAAACTGAACTGAGTTCGGTGAAATCTGAAGCCAAGCGCAAGGAAATCCCAAGAGTGATAGAGTGATACAATGGGTTCCTTTGTTTTTGTTGGGCTCTGGACTTGGTCTCTCTCTCTCTCTCTATACTTTGAGAGTCGAATGCCTCTGGGCCATCCGAATCCGGAGAGTTGGAATCCCCTTGCAGAACTTACCTTTGGTCAACGAACATACTGCTGGGATTTGTGGCCAGGAATAATAGCATTCAATATCAGTTCAATGATTTATCATTGGATCAAATGCTTGTTTTCCTGTGGATCTTGATTTCTTCTAGGGAATGGATTTGGTCCTCTTTTCTTGGTGAAGATCCATCTAAGTCCCAAAGAAGTCTTGGGTCGTCGTTTGCTTTGGCGGACGGAACCTTGAGGCTATTTGGGCATTTGGGCCAAGACAAGTCAGCGCTGCGGCTGCAGGGATTTGCGCTTGCGTTCTTTGCACATTCGGGCTGGGACAGCAAAAGGTGGCCAATGACCTCTGAGGAACAGGTTTGAACCCAGCAGGATCCGTTCAAACAAATCACCACGGTTGAGCACAATTCTTGGATCAGACTGGGGTTCTTCTCCGAAGGATGACTGCGAACTTCTGGAAGTGTAAGATGTTGAACGTGTCGAATGTGTTGTGGGCAAGCTCTTTTGATGTGCAGGATTGAGTGATTCATTGTACTATATTGTACTATCAGCACTATCTGTAAAGGGACCATCATGGACCATCCACATCCACAGTGAACACTCCCCTGATTAGTGGATGATTGGTGATGATCAGTCTTTTCCTACCGACCTGCGATTTGCTTGGCCCTTCACCAATCCGTCCCTGACGGTCGGATTTGTTTGGAGAAAGATCCGTTGAATGGCTTCAAATGTGGCTTCGCTTCTGGACGTTTCATTCAGCCAGACTGTTCGCGAACCGGCCCGCTGATCCTTCGGCGCACTCAGGCAGGCGCCGGCGGGAAGCATCTTGAACATTTGGCCTCCCAGTGATTTCAGTGCTCCCTGGGCAGCAGGTGATCGGAGCAAAGGTGAGTAAGGGCGATGTAAGAGGCTGTTTGGTTTGTTTTGGGGAATGTTTTGGGATAGCCGTTTGACTAAGAACGACTAGGTCTTTGAGTGCTTTAGCACAAGATAAACTCAGACAAGTTAGCGCCAATCTGTCGTTGGGGTTGGAGAGGTGGGTTGTTATATATAGTATATTTCGATTTTTGTATCAATGAACGACTGAAACAGCGCGTTTGGCAGATGTCGGGGGGCCAAACTGAACATGTTTGGTGGCAGCCAATCGCTGCCCTGGCTGTGTCCTTCAGTGATGTTTCTCTGAACATTGGGAGTTCCTTTGTTTCTTTGATCGAGTTAGGGGAGTCGAGACAGCTTTTTCCCAAATCTTTCCAGATTCAACTGCGTAGGAACGCTCCATGCCACAAGTTGGATCAATGTTAAAGCTCCGAGCATTGACCAGATATATAGGAAGCAGCTGCCACCAGCAAGCAGCTTTTATAAGCAGTTGCACCTCTGAGCCATCGCATTTTCGCTCAAAACGCGAAGTTCGAGGTCAAGGGCAAGATCAACCAGGTGGTCGACTACTCGGAGAATGGCCGCATCCGGGAGCAGGCAGAGACAAGCCGAATCAAGCCAATGTCTCGCGTGGTTGCTTTATGATCAGGTTATGGGTGAATTGATAGTCTTCTGAAATAGACGGAACATGGAAGAAGTCAAAATCGATATATATATATATATAATAAATTATATAATATTACATAATTGTATAATTGCATAATTACAGTAACTATAATTACAGTATTGGCCAGTATTAGTATTGGTGTTTGACACGTGCCGTACTCTACAAACCTATAGGTGGTGACGAGCGTGGCGACCCACTACCAAGAGAATCCTTTGCAAAAGGAAAACCAGGAAAAACACATAATTCAGAATACCACTGAAAGCATTGAAGACCCGTTGAGCCAAGCTGTTTGGTGTCTTAATCTTTGTTTTGAAGAGCTTCATCTCAGTATCTCCAATATATCAGGGTGGAACCCATAGTGGAAAGCCTCGGAGGCGATCCAACCCTTCCGTGCTTGGATCAGAGTTCCAGAGTTCATTTACCTTCCTTGTCTTTTGATCTGCCTGAGGGCTACAAGATCTACGACTACATCAAGCCAGCAGATGCTCTCGCAAGCCACTTGGAATGAGCACTGGGAATTGAAACGGCGGCCAGCCTCGGGAACGCAGAGCTGGGTCCTGAATGGTCCTGATGCATTGCTGCGGCATACTGATTTGCGCAAGCGTCGTGCGTGCCACTATTCTGCTTTTGGATAGTGCTATCCACCTGTGGGTGGGATTTGATGCATGTCCTCAGCAGATTTGGGGGATCACAATGACAACTGTCAACGCGGGCCCACAGTCTCGGTGACTGTTGTGAAGCCAACTTAGGGCCTTTTCCCCATCAATACAGAGGTCCTGTGGGTGGAATGTGGCCCTGATATAGCTATAAAGGCTTCGTGTGGTACCGTTGATGGGGTTTTCTCCATGCACAAAGTATACGTCATCGACGTTCTTCGTTCGCAAGTTCCGACCTTTGCAGCCGATTCTCTTCCACCAAAGGGTATCCCAAGTGGTCCAGGATGTTGTTTGAGGCATCCCACCAAAACCACCGGGAAAGACACGTAGATTGGTTCCTCCATTTCGAGACACATCCCTGAGCGGCTATGCAGGCCGATAGAAGAATTAAAAATTCAAGTCTGGAAGTCCCAGTCTTGTAGGGCGCTAGAAATGAAATGCCAAAGAGCAAAGTGCCATTTCCATGCCTGGCCTGTTTTGCTCTTGGCGCCAACATGAGACCTTAGGCTATGCTGAAGACCTGGCGCATGGAAAGGATGGCATCATGTTGGTCACCATGTTGGAATACATCCGACGCATTTCTGCAGCTTGGCGGAGACGCGTGCGATGTGTGTGAAACCCGGAATCATAGGGAACCTGTTGACATTGTGAAGCAAGGGAGTGCTTTTATAAATCCCCTAGAAATCCACATACCCTCTGGGAAGGTGATGTGTTCGACACTGTTGTGTAGGTTTGGAGGGTCCAGTCGTACCTTCTGAGAAGGTACGACTGGATCCCTAGGGAATATCTTGAAATATCTTGAGTGTGTGTCAAGCGTAGTGGTGGAGTGACCTTCGTTCCACTCACTCGTCGTAAACCTGCCGTCCACTGTAGCCCGGAAGGGATGGTCTCACTGTAGAAACGAGAGGACCCCAATTGGTCGAAGTGGCTTTATGCCACGCAATTTGAACCTATACACTCCAGGGGCAAATAAACTGTTGGAATTGGACTATGTGCAGCAAGCTGGTTGGACAACAGATTCTCCAATCAGGATTCCTGTGTGCCAGACTCGCCACAGCCGATGCCAGACGATGCCATGATCATCACCAGCTCCTTAGTGACTATCCCCGGTCACCGAGGTACACAGGAAGCGCAACACCAAAGTCTTAGCCACTCGGCTGGTGACAATCTGCTGGCTGGTTCCAGCAGCCACACTAAGCAGGTGTCTCCAATCACCTTCTGAGAAGGTACTTGGATCCCTAGGGCAGGTTTTTGGCTTTTCTTGATGCTTCTTGGAATGTGCTTTGGACCGCAACAAACCGGACAGGCTGAACTTGTGCTGGCCAGGTATAGGCTATGTATAAGGTCTTGGGATCCATAAAGAAGTCATATGAGCGAATTCGTTTCGATGACGGGAAGCATGAATCAAACGTTTCGGTGGACCGCGAATCCTGAGCTAGAATGGTTCCCTACAAGTGATATTTAACACTGTGGATTGGGTACGTATACCGACTGGGTTTCCATTTTGATATATCTTGATGCACTGTACATCAAGACTCACCATGACTCTAACCAGTGAGAATCACCCGTGATTCTCCAGACTCATCCAAGCGAAGTGAGAGTGGACTGCACCCAATGCAAAGCATCCGATTCTCTTCAAACGCTCAACACCTGACATTTGTCCAGGTGCACATGAATGGTAGAATCTTGATTCAACCCCCGATATGTATTTCATAATATTTCATATTTCATGAGTTCAAACAACTCATGTTCGAGCGGGGTGGTCTTTTCTTCAAGACGAAAACATGAAGATCTCACAAGGTCGACATCCGCTGAATCCGCAGGTGGGGACCTTTATCCGCTCGGATATCCCGGGTGCCGACCTGGACTGCGACGGTGCCCGGGCCTCCCTGGAGTTCGCTCAGGAGACGGGGAGACGGGCAGACCGGTGCCGCACCCAGTGTCAAGGCATAATCATGCATAATCTTGTTTTTTTAGTAGGAGGTCACGGTCATAGTCAAGCAATTTGGAAAGGATGAGGAGAGTAATATAGATTGTTTGTGGCTGGTTATGTGTAAACTGTAAAGGGATGATCGAAAGAGGGGACAAAAGAAGCACCGTTGGCCTGTTTATATCGCAGATTTCACCGAGTAAGGTCTGCATCAATGCTCCCCGGTTGCTAAACACTGACCGCAAAACCTATAGCTCATAGCTCTGAACACAGCTATAATATATAGTTAGTTGCAGGCATCAACGGCAGATCCGGTAGTAATTAGTCTGATTCTGTGGCGACCAGATGGTTCCTATAGTATTTAATATAGGCAGACCCTGCCAAACGGTGCGTCGCCTCATCCCTGGAGCCGTCGGGCTCAGCATGGCTCAGCCGTCCCCGTTGACCGTGAGGACTTGAGCGACATGGTGGGTTGGAGCCGAGGACTTCCCGGAGTTATGTGGCATCTCCACTGAGCGGGAACAGCCCGCTGAAGAAGGCCTGGTTTGGTGGTGAAGAACGCCAAGGACAAGGAAAAACACCCGCAGAGCAAGAGAAGGAACCTGAAGAATGCACTAGGATAGACTTTGTATCAATTTTGGACACCCTCAGGTTCCATTGTCAGTCTGTGGAGGTGTGTCCCTGACCGATGCTCCAACTTATATAGATAGATTTAGAGGCCTCACCAGGCGCATGACAGCTGTGAAAAGCGGCATGAAACGGCCAAAGGCGCTGAACAGAAGGAACGCCAGCAAAATGCTTTGGCCCAACCGCTGGATCAACTCAGTTGCTTTGTCCTACCCAACCATCGAGAGAAGGCTGCAGGCTCGCCCAAGAGGGCTTGAGAAATCCAAACATCAGGACCTCATCCAATGAGTCGGAACACCCTTTGGTTGACCCAGTCAGTCTCGATATGTTCGTTCTGAACATTGGGTCTTCTACGCGCCGGTCTTGCGCTGGAGTCTTGGTTCGGCCGGGCCTGAGGTCTTGGGATGACCAGCTCAATGAGGAGCCGGTGGGTTTGACCAGGGAAGAGTGGCTGAAGCTCGGCCAGAGAAGCCTCATGAATGGAGCATGTCTCTTGGGGTTATCTTGTGAAAGTGCAGCTGATGTTTTGTCCACAGCATGTCATGGCAGACGGTTCTGACGCTTCACATTCCAGGCGATCGGGGATCGACCCGATCGCCTCGAGGCGTGAAGCACGCAACGGACCGGAACCGACCACCCGCGACCAGGAGATCGGAGGTGACGAGGCGGCCTTTATCCGCGAGGAGAACCGACTCCTGCGGAGGCCGTGTGTCTTGGGGGAAACCAGAGAACAGTTGGCCGGTGGGGTGCCTTGGTGACTTGGATAGGGGTTTGGGCCTGGCTACAGTTTTCCCAGTCAACTGGCACTGCAAAAAGCCGATTTTAAAGGAGTTATGCTGCGCCATCTAGCATAAGTTAGCATAAGTGTTCATGGCTCATGACTCACGACTGATGGCAGATCTCTGAAGAATGATTTCCATGTCTTTGTTCTTCTGTACTTGTAGACAACTTGCAGCTGTTCCTTCTCTTTTGTGTGGCCCCTACATGATGGGTATAGGAATGTATAATATGATTTATATATAAAATATATATAGGTAAGTATGCAAGTTAGAATGCAGGCTCTTGCCCACCTTGCTAGGCTGACTCTCACACGCAAACTTGGAGTGAACTTCCCTGCTACACCGGACAGGGACCAACCATTCAACATCATTCAATCCACCGATTCATTTCGAAAACCTAATTGTACTTTCAAATACACTCCCTGAAGGAATCATGGAAGTAGATGGCATGACCATCTTCCTCTACAAACAGGTTTCTTTGGTTCACTTCGATCATGGTTTCAGTGTCGGTCCGGCCCAACTTCCCAGCATCTGGCAGCATCCGGCCGCTACGCAGCGTCAGGCAGCTGGAAGATCATCCGGAGGCCACACGGCAGGGTGGACACCCCCAGTCGTTCCGACCCTCCAGTCGTTTCGGTTCGGGAACATCGACCAGTCTACCCAGCCAGGGCCATAGCCAGGGCCACTGGATCCTCCCCAAAAAACACTCAGATGTTGGTTTCGCCATGTTTGGGGTTTTCCCAGCGAGTCATCCCTTGGCAGATTTTCCTGTGGGTCGTACACGACACGCATTTTTCCGTGAGACTCCAGGTGCAACTCCTTTGGCCCACGAGTTTGGGGTGGAATAACGAAGTTGTCGCAGATTTGGGGCCGAGTGTAATGATCTAAGATCCATGTGACAGCATGTGAAGACAACCTTCATGGATCAACATCGGACATTCTCAAGGCACGGTCACAGGGTCTTAAAACCTGGACTTTGAACATGGCCAAAGTGGACTCTTGGCTCCATGGAACCGTATGGAACCTAAAGATCCCTACAACACGAAGCCACCAAAAATTGCGAGGCTCAGACATGACCCCCCTTTTTTGATACTATTTTTGATGGTTGGTGGTCCAAAATAGAGATTCACTCAGGGTCCATGGTGAATATTGTTTCATTATTGTTTCAAACGGCTTCTTTTGGAATTCGCGATTCGTGACCGCATTGGGCCGGCGTCCGATCGGTAGGTTCAGCGACTCAGGGCCGAGAATTGGGCCTTACGCGCCGGCCCAAAGATCGAGACTGGAGGAGAAAGATAGGAAAACCACGGCGCGTTTTAGTGAGTTCTGTTTGTGTTGGTTCATTTCTGATCAACATTGGTTCAGACAACCATTTATATTTATGTCACACTATGTCTATTGTGTTCTCCTTTGCGTCGTTACTTCAGGTTTTGTCCTTCAAGGATAAGACTACTGCGCGAAGAATCATGTTGGAACAGATACACATACACAATCATACACACAAATTCTCAGATATATATATATATATATAGTTATGGTCCGGTTCACTCTTTTGTGCATCACTCATGTTGCGCGGGCTGGTTGCGCCATCCAACGACAAAGACAAGACATGCAGATGGACTTCGCTGCTTCGACCACTGTTTGACCCAAAGATCTCACCGGTTAGCTGGTGAGTCAGAACATATTGGGCCCCAATGTCAATGAACTCATCAGCTTGTTAATATGAGACCTGAAGCTTCTTTCGCGACCAATAAGAAAAACACACGCTGACATCAGAAAGTGCTCCATGTCAGCAAAAGAGGAACTTAAAAGGCACTAGACGAGAAAAGAGCCACTATACCATGCCATACACGGAAATTTCAGGTCATTTAGAACAACTATAGTCCATGTCTTCCGTCTTCTTGCCTACCTCACCGGTGGCCGCTCGTTTGAACGTCCAAGGTGAGGAACTTCGGACCTTGGACCCTGCAGGCGAGTGGTTTAGCCACGCCGGGAGCGGGGTGGATAGGTGGTGGATAGGTTCTTTGGGAAATGAACAGCGTTGCTGTTTGGTCATGTTTGCTTTGTTTTGTGTGTATGTGTATATGTATAATACGATGTAATATGTGTTTTGTTTGTCACTTTGTGGAAATGCATTTCCAATGAAATGATGGACACATCACATCGCGTATTAATTGTATATGTTTATTGGATTCTGTCATTATTGATTCGTTGATTGAGCTCTCAGTTTTGTACCCTTGGCTGCTGTCATTTTGTGATACTTACTGGGCAGTATCTTAGCTATTGGTTTTTCACTTATGACTAAGGTTGTTGCTTCATTTCTCTACAAGAAAAGATACGGCACTGATAGACAGCCAGGGATGGCAGGGCCGTGCGTAGATTTACCTGGCAGAAAGCACCTGTGCAACACTTTTGAGGGGAATCATTGCCTTTTGGCAAAAACGCTTCCCACCTCCAGCAGTAACGGAAACGATCAAAGACCCACAACATCTAAAATGGGATGTTTCTAGGTGGATGATTTAAACCTTCAAGCCAATTTGGAAGCACATTAGGAACCACATCTCAAAAGGATTTGTGGGGTCCATCCATAGATTTGCATGTTCGACCGGACAAGCTCCATAGGCTGGCCACGCTTGTGGGGAAGCCAAGTTGGATTGGACCATCGAGATGAAGTGGATGGTGTCCCGCCCCCGGGATTAAAGAGTAGTACTGTAGCACCCTTTTTGGTTCCGTAGTGTTTCGGCTCTTCGTGAATGACCTGCAAGGGTTGTCACGGCCGTTTGCACTTGGCACCTGGAGCGTCGGGGTTCTGTGACCCTTGTGTTTTTGTAGGCTTTGGTAGGACACGTAGTAGGCTTGGTCAGATGTAGGCTTAGGTAGGAAAATTGGTCGGAGCATTTAAAGGATGTAGTCGATGTAGTGGATTGTTTTTTGGGAGGTTCTCCTTTTTTGGATGTGTTTGATACCCACGCAAGCATCCTTTTTGCAGATCAGAGATGTGAGAAATCACCACATTCATCCAGACATTATGTTTGAACTGTGTCTTGTTTTCCAATGGGCAGATGGCTCATTGTGCACGAGGTGAAGGACACTCGGCCTAAACATTCTGAATGAATCCGCTACCATGTTGTGAGTCCAAAGGTTTTCTGACACTTCAGGCATCGTACAGCATCCAAAGACCAAACATGCATGCATCATTCGCTCTTTGTTTTGTTCGAAACGACTACAGTATCTTCACATTGGCCAGTAGACTCCTTCATCAACATCAACACAACCACGTGTATAGCCTGTTTTGGCATGTTTATGTGCGGTTATCAAACTCATGTCCAGGATCCGGCGTGTTGGTAAGTAAGCCTTTCACCCAGTTTCCCACTGCAGCGCCATTGTCATGGAGGTTTTTTTGAGAGGAAACATCGCCTTCGTTCAACACGAACACAAGTATGTAGAAACTAAACATCGCCTTAGCAGACAAGGGGAGGGTAATGTGTTTCTTCGCGTGCAACAATCGAAGGGTACCCTGAAGATACCTTGTCTAGGAAATGATGGATCCTATATTTGGGCTGAAGTGTTTAGGGGCTCCCACTATCCGGACTGCATCCATTTCTGACAATGCTTCCTTTTTGCAGCACTAAGGCCCTTGGAAGGCCGGGTTTCCTGAGACGAGTTTGGGTATGGTTCTTTAAAGACAGGGTCCAGCAACGTGATCAGTCGACTAGAGGACTACACTGACAAAGGGATGCCGGTAGACTCCCTTTCAACTGGTATGAAGAAATGCTCCAAAAAGAACTACTCGCTTGAGATACGCAGGAACTGGTCCCGACACATGCGCAGGAACTTGTTTGATTGATCAGGGCTGCGGGGGGTCCCAAGTTACTACGAGGCGTTCATCCGTTGTGCATCCTATCGAGTCCTCCTCATACTACTTGCTTACAGTACATGTTTGGAAGATCCCAAACCCAAAGATTGCTGGAAACATCCATTTACATCACGTTATATCCATTTACACATGAGGGTCCAGACCAATCTCCGGTTGCTAGGCGTGTTACTTGTGCCTTATGATGACCTCATCAATGAGTTGTTGCCATATCAATGGCGGCGCCCTGTGTTGCATGGGATGGTCTCATGATCAATGCTTTCGCAGTCGACATCAGTCGACCAATCCCGCTTGAACCGACATTTGCATTGCAGTGCCAGGGACAAGGGCCCT